TCGACTCTTTTTGTCAATGACATGTGGAACTTGTCCACCTCTGAGTCAGCGCGCCCCGCTTTCTTCAGACTTTATCATTTCACCCTCGCAGTTTCATAAGAGTATGGGCAGTACGGGCAGAGTCAACCCTGCGTTGCGCAGTTCTCAACGGCCACGTTGCGCAGTTTCGCCCGATTAGACACGTTCTCTCGCGCGAACATTCACACTCGCATGCTCGAGCCGTCTGCGTCTCCGCCCATACAGCGTGCGTTGAGGATCTCTCAACGTGCCGTTGCGAACTGCGCAACGCAGGGTTGACTCTGGTACGGGTCATCTCATTAAGTTAGGCAGTTTCTGGAAGCGACGCCTTTATATTCTATCCGTCGTGTCAGACATCGTTTAACACAACGGGTATCGATTTTTTAACTAGTTGCTGTTTCCCTCTGTGACGGGGATAAATTTGCATCATATTTGAGGCTATTTCAGAAGAAACGGACCTGTTCAAGGCTCCTCGGAACTGAATATGATTGGTGAGCCCATTCCAGAATGAATGCCATAACGCAGAGCATTTCGTGGCTATCGAGGGGTGCTCCATTGCAATTATCTGAAATGCACCTAATGGCAAGGAGCCAACTATCCAACAGAGGTGCTGGAGACTACTCAAGTAGATCGTCGATTCTAAGCCATGCAAGGAAATATAACCGTCCACAAGTCACATTCACAGCCATTTGTACGATTGAACCGGTTCTGCAGGAAATGATCAAACTTTCACCTCGCCTTCAAATAACCAGAATTGTGCTAATGCAGAAATTGACGTGGCATTAACGTAGTATCGATTCAAGAACATCTTTGAGCACACGTGATGTCACCTTTTCATCGAGAATTTAGCAGCCAGAAAACCCACGTGGCACACGTGGCTAAATTCTCGATGAAAAGGTGACATCACGTGTGCTCAAAGATGTTCTTGAATCGATGCCACGTCAATTTCTGCAATTGCACAATTTCTGGTTATGAAGGCGAGGGATATCGGCGAACAGGAGGAAGAGCCACTCGCGATCACGCGTCTGCAAGCGTCTCATGTATGATTCTATTGCACAACCTTTTCCCACGCTTCACTACCTTCGCGGTGCCTGCACGTTTAGTTAATTTCGTTGTTGGTGATTTTTTGAATTACCTTTCTTTACAACCCTACACTCGGATCCCTCTCAATACCAGACAATAGTTACGCACTAATTATCTAAGCTTGAGGAAATTCACCAACTGGACTCCTGTAGGATAATATGTAGCATCTGCACTAGTTAAACGTCCGAGGAGCACCACCCGTGGAATTTGCTGTCCCCCATCAACCACAACATATGCCAACATGACTCTGCATAGTGCTGCTACAGCCGCTTCCCCCAGTCTGACACGGAAGAAAGAGGAACTTATGTATTCACATATGGGCCTACTCCTCTGTTTGCCTTTTTGGAATTTACAAAACGTCCCCAAAAGCTCAAACACCACCTCCGAATATAACGTGGTAATTCTGCCTCTAGTCTATCATATAGTTACAAAAGTGTCATTGCGATCAATCCTACTTTCGGACCTCTTATCATCCAGGCAGTGCATGCAAGAATTTGCTCTCGACTACTCCATTTCCAAAAGCTTAACTAATAATTACTCTCAGAAGATATGCGCGCTAACTGGACGGCCTGAAAATACCGCTGTAAGCTAATGGGAAGGTCGTTGTTGATAAGTTAATAGATGTGGAAACCTGTACCTGTGTGTAGACGAAAGGCTTCTTCCACTCCTATAGCTTGTTGGAGGATGACGACGTACGTGTAGATAAGATGCATTAGAGCGAAGATTTCTTTTCTCCGATTGCTCACAAATACCTTAAATCACCGGAAACAAATTACCAACTCTATATCTACGACTGCGGGCATCCTCGTGGTCTAGCGCTCGAGTAACGCAATGTAAGAAGTGGAAAGACAGATTTCAAACTAAGTTTGTGCAGTTCCTGGTTTTCTCCAAAGGCTTCAAGAACTCCCTTTGAAGGTCATGTTCAACGGCCGGTGCTTCATACGTTGCACTAGTCACGCGCAATACGGCATGTGAACCTCAATATTGCAATATTGCAATACCAGTATTTCGAATTGATCCTGGATTGCTTTACGATGTCCCTTCAGTTGCAGCTTATGATCTATTTATATTCCTGCTTCTTTGTGTAGTAAGTTGCTGTGGTTGAAGAATTATAATAATGTTTCTTTATAGAAATTCTGAGGCAGGAACACCAACTCAAAACTCATTCAACTGCAACTCTGTGCTTAGTTGAAGGGTGCTGCGGTGCAGCGCTGTGTTCGTCTACGCGCTTTCGTCAAAGCGACTCAAGATTAACACATTGACGAGACACGAATTTTGAGCGGCAGATACGCAAGACGGGGGTGACGCAAAATTATATCAGTAATCTTCGGTGCATAGGGACCGTCCAGTGATATAAGTCACCTGGCCACTGCTTTTGAGTTCAGCAGAGATTCTATTTCCACATTCACAGAGCCAAACGGGCCGAAGCGGGCCACTTTATCAGTGGGTAAGATCCAGATGTTTTCTTATTAACACTTTTGGGCGATCCACCAAAGTGTGCTGATTCAGCGGATTTTCACTGAGATAGATTTGCCACCAATTAAAAGCACAAGCTGAGAAGAATACTGATCAATAAGCAAAGCGGAAGGAGGAACGTCAGCTTTTCCCCTTACAAAAACATGGTCGGGGCATTCCACGGCCGGGTGCTCTGTCATCACCACCACAACTTCTTTACCACCACAACTTCTTTACATCACTTTCCAGTCGAGAAATTGATGGAGTTCTTGGTGGTTTCTTAAGGATGAACATAGCGTCAACTTCTTGATGAAGGCTCTATCCGGCGCCAATCCAAGATACAAGCTTCTGCCCCTACAGCGAATAAACCATGTCGATCATTCACTTTTTTTATCATTGAGAATAACCAGATATCTTCCGGCAGCCGCCGGAAACTCCTCTCCTGGCGTAAGCTTTGCACCGTTCACTGTGTTCCTTCCACCTATGGCACCAAAACTTCTTGGAGGTGACGCGTAAGCACAAAACAGGTTTATATTCTAAATGGCATCATAACAATCACGACATAACGCTTTGTGACTCATTTCTTAATTGTTCATTAGTCATGTTGAGAAATGTTGTTCTCCTCTGCTCGCCGGCTGCCACTGCAGCACCTTGTGGAATGACCGGAAGTGTGCTAAGCAGGTGTTTATATAGCCGTAGAGTGTTATCACAATCATGCCATTGCAAAACATTGATAGCTCAAATCCTGCGAGCTACCCGATTTGTTAGCGGTTTGTTTATTCCATGAGCTTCCTTATCACTCACTTCATTTTGCGGACGGACAGACAGACAAACTTACACACATACACACAAACAAACGACACACCAAGGTTGTGGTTTATATAATGAAGAGATCTTCATGGAAAAGCTATTTTAATTCATAGTTCTACGTACTCTTATAACACGCAGCGAGCAACCGTTTTGAAGAAAGCACGTTTTGAGCGATCCCTTCCCAATGAATAAGATATTACTGTAACACTCTATTGGTTAGTTTCTTCAGAACCACCGATGTAAACTCACAGTTTTTTTGTCCGAGAACAATTTCAGCATTTGTAGAAGTTCAGAGAATTCTATCGGCAAACGAAGTTGATCCCTGTAAAAGCAAACTGTGACGGTTCTCGCAAAATCTGTCGACATCTAGCAGACCGCTAATCTCTTATATGAACCCAGTTGCCTCGGACATCAGCCAAGACCTCCTTCCTGCGTATGCTTTACCCATTCCGCTGTGCTCACTTCCACTCGTGAGCTCAATTCCTCATAAGGAGATGCGTATGCACCAAAAGGGTATCTTATATAGATTAGTTGTAGGAGAACCTTCGCGACATTTTTTTGAACGCTTTTTTCTCATAAATATGCACTGATCAGATAAATAGAGAGAGCCCCTAGGTAATATCGAACAGCTTGGCTGGGTTTTCTCCCATATCCGCGATAAAAATTACGTTTTTCTGAACCGACCCTCGACTGCTCCTCTTCGCGCATGGGCATCAGTGCGGTCGAAGCGCTGTGGAGTCAACACACAAGGACCTCTGGGACTGTTCTTTGCGTCATTATCTCTCGTAGGTTCGCTCTCTTTGAATCTGGCGACTTTCTGTAGACGAAGACGCCCACGGAAGCTTATCATGGCCATCCGACATGCTGTCTGGTACAGTACTTCTGAATGCCACATCACCACGTTGCTGAGTTTGAATAGAACCTGAATATGGCGCGTTTAGGTACCACAACAATCTCCCTGCATCAGCTCCAACAGTGATTCCATGTGCATTAATTCTCGGCTTTTCCAAAAGCAGGATCATCCCAACAATGTGGTTACTTCAGACATGTAATACGTGCCATACTTGAATCACGACAGGAGGCTCAAGTGGGTGTGTTATGATGTTACGACGTTGAAATCGGGAGTTATGACGCCAAATGTGAAGACCCGGATAAGCTCGGCTTGTCTGTAATGATTCCACTGACCTCCTGCTCCAAGACGCCAAAAGAATAGGATCAAGGTAAAGGTAAGTCCTGCGATGCTCTACAGCGAGTCATGAAGTGCACCTTCGCTCTGCCGAAATGAGTGTCATTGGCTGGATGAGACTACCGAAAGTAACGAAGACGTCAGAGCTTGTCAGAGCTTCAGTCTGCTCCTCTTCATCTAAAAGTGCGATGACAGCGAGTGCTGTGGTACGGACACGTACTGCGCAAACCACAGGATCACTATGCAGTAAAGGTACAGGTTTGGAGCGTACGACAGGTGACCACGAGGAGCCACAGAGAAAAGTTGGAGAGATGTTGCAAGAAGAGCTTTACTGAGGTCAAGGCAGCACTAAACTTGCAGTGGATTGGGAAAACGGCGTGATTTAAGGATGAATTCACGAAAAGATGGAAGGTCAAAGAAGGGGAAATTGCATAGATGAGATGTTGGGACGCGCATTCGTAGCGAAAGATTTGACCTCGGCGATCTAGCATGGCTCACTCTTGGCGCGGTTGGCGGGGTACGCCCACCGACTATCTAATCACTCGCCGCAGGTCTATACGCGGCGAGTGATTAGATAGCAGAGAGCGTAGTGTTGAAGAGGGCACAGCGATGAGAGTCGCATCAATGCGCAAATCAACGGCAAGAAAGGGTTTTGATCCATTTCGAATGGTTTCTTCTTCATCCCTGCTCCACTGACCACCTCTACCCTTATTTCCAATGAGCTAACTTTTCATCGTAAATTCTGCCGCGGATATTGCGACGGAGACGCATTCAACGCTAGTGGAAAGATGCAATGAAAGGATTCAGTCTTCAGGTATCATCCTGATGCCTTTTGTAGCAGCAGCAAACTACGCAAGACCCCACTTATTCAGTAGTTTCGGCAAACCCAGGAATTGATAAGCTCGCATCTGAAGCTCAGCGAGTGAGAGGGGCACTCCCGCTCGAGGAATAGGAACCACCCCGCTACAGTGTTAAATATTCATGTTGTGAACTTATCTGCGGAGCCCCTGCAATTGGTTTCATCCCAAGTCAGGATTATACCCCATTATACACTTGAGCTGGTAGAGAAGGCTGACTATGACTGACCACACGTACAGAACGACACGCCACAGTCTCTTCGTTTCTTTTCTGTCTTGACCTTTCACGACCACGACTTCATATACATATCCGAGCGTTCGTTCTCCAATATATGCCAAGCGGAGCAATCGGAATGTAATCGTCGTATCATGCCCTTAATTATTGCGGATTACCTCATCGCTCTTCTGTATCTTTTTTCACATAAGTTTTACTATCCCCAATGAAGCTTTAGTGAGAAGCGTTATAACTGGAGCCTTAGAACTTCAGTTTCAGGTAAAGTGTAGAGGATCAATAAGAGTTCTGAGAGATTCAGAAGCGTTCATTCATGGAGTAGGTCCGTTCTATGTAAGTTCCTTAACTGAGTGTACGTATATCTGTCTTGAAGGAAACAGTTTTTGTCAAAGACGTCACACCCCAATTTTTTAAGCATGAAAAACCAGCCACTTACGCTCGTAACTGTGAAATGTGCCGATTTCATTAGGCATACATGGAACGACATCAGCGATGTTATTGGATGTTGAAATCATCACCGCTACCGGATGCTGCAGAAGGCTTTCAATGCGACTCATTATATGTTTTTTATCTTTGCGTGGAATTGCTGCATTCTGAAAGAATGCTCACGTTTCTCAGTGTGATGCAAGCTCGCTGATGTTCATTGTAATTGCTTTATCTCATTGTGGAATAACTGCTGAATGATGGCAGCGAACGTGAAAACAGGAGAGTGCAGCATTCTCAAACTACGTGTTATGCAAATATTGTAAATGGATTGCTACTAATCTGCGGAACCGGAAAGGTAAGCCATCACCCCAGTGGTGATCTCTCCTGGGAATGCAGCAGGGAATCGTCATAGAAATGATGGCCAAGCTCTCATCGCGCTGTGATTGGAACGCGCTTCAGTACACGACACGCGCGGAACGCGACATTCTCTCACCGAACTCACTGCCTGAACTGTTACCAGATGATTCGTTCTCTGCGGTTTCAGTTCTTCAGTTCATGCAGTTCTTTCCGAAAGTCCTGTAGTCACTCACCGTGAGTATGTTTGCCTTATGATTCTTTAGAAAGTTGGTGTGTTTATTTTTCAGTCTCGCCACTTCATGCTCTGAATCGAATTCATTATTCAGAAGATGTAATTTTATGGAAAAAATAGTTTGAGTTTATTTTTCCCTTATGAGTATTCAAGTTGAACTGTACAATTTCTGCGTGATACCTACACCAGCTGTAGTCCATATAGGCTGTCAGGAACGTGTGCTCTGTGGACGATGGCAGCTCATATACCTGCCAGTTAATGATCATGTGCTAATCCATAGTACCATGCTTATTTGATTTTTTTTACCAGTTTAGCTCCGCACGCAACCGCGCGCATCACATGGTAGGCTTTAGTGAAACTGGACAACTTGCTGAATATTAGGTCACGTGGCTGAGAAACTAACAGTAAGATGTTTGGAAGATGTGTCACATGAATTTCAAAGGCTGTCCAATTTTGCTGAAGATTGTAGCGTAATGTAGCATGCGGAATGAAAATGCACTTATCATGACTTCGTAAACATTTAGCATTGATATCGAGCTCGGGCGATTTAGCGGTTTATAGAATTTCCACAATTGAAGAATCGGTGTGTAAGTGAAATATAACCAATCAATCAGCATCTAACCGAGCTGATGGAAATTGGAAATATAATGGAAATTCGCTATTGGTCCAAGTCCAGATAGTTGAGCAGCTCAACTTTCTTTGCTTCTTTAGATGAAAGGGTAGGAATGGAACATATTCACGTGCTAGGGACCTGGTTTAGTTCAACTGAGTGCACGCTCAACTGTCGCTACTTTTATCAGTACAGTTGCCGCTCATACCACTTTCTGTCACCTACATTCAACCCTCGCCACCTTGATCGCTTGCCAGTGATAATTGCAACGAAGTTTGGAGACCTGCATTCAAACGCTCTTATCATTCCTTGTCATTTGTTATCAGTTCATACTGTTCGCAATCGGTGTCCCGGTCCCAACCTCCAGCAACGTGTAGGAGCTAATATTTACTGTCACCACGAAGGCTGCAACGAAATTAGCAGTACTCAAAATCCTAACTTCCTTATCAACCGTTATCGCTTGTTATCACTTTTGATCATCCACTATCCGTGTTCCCGTCCCATCCCCTATACCACATGTGAGAGCCAAGGTTCCAATGTAACCGCAAGGGCCGCAACGAAACTGGTGGTATCCACACTTTGACGCCCCTTATCAGTTCTTATCAGTTGCTACCACATTCGTTCACTCAACTTCTTGGTCCCCGCCTCACCCCACATATCATACATGAGTGCAAACTCTCCACCGTCAACGCGAACGGTGTAACGAAATTGGTGACATCAACATTTCGACGTCCGTTATCAGCTCCTATCAGTAGTTATCACTTCCCGCCACCCGTCATCAGTGTTCACCTCCGGCCCCCTATATATCCTAGAAGTTTGAGCGCTCTGGGTCCAAAGGGGGTGAAGTTATGAATTTCCGGTCAGACACACACACAACCGCTTAGCCGATTATATATAGTAGGATATCAACGTAATAAACAAGGCCAGAGGATAAATTTACATTGGAGCGACCATCAGCAGTCAAAATGATCGCGGGCTCTGTTCACAATGTCGCTGAGAGAGCTGAACCGAGAAGAGGCAAATTCAAGACACTAGACTTTTCGAGAAAAGTATGGCGTGGGCGCGACAACCTCCAGAATCGAGATCCCACCGATTACATCGGAGACGATATTAAAAACCCAAACTTCGCTGTGATGATACTTGCTCGCAAGTAATAAGCAATAGCAGGAAGAAATTTTTTCAATGGAAAAAAATTCAGGTCCGAAAGGATTAAAGGCACGAGTCGGGATTGAATTGATGCGTTATTTTGTTCAAACATTAGGCAAGGGGTGCAATGAGGAACATTAGTGAGGAGAAAAAGCAAAAAGCACCATAGAAAACACTAAATTTCCCTTAGGAGGCCGGCCGTAGTACGACGGAGAGACACAGCGCTGCGAGGAGAGGGAGAACGCGAGATAGTACGTCGTACGCGAGAGGACGCAGAGACCACGTATGCCGTGGTGGATTACGCTGGCAGCGCGGGCAGCGCGGCGGCAAGGCCTTAGCGCCATTGCCGCGCACTTTTGGGTCGCGATAGTGTCGCGCCCTCAGTGCTTGGGGAGCCCACTATCGCACCCTGGGAAGAACTTCTGCTGGTTGCCTAATCCTGACCTTGTGGCTTTTGAAGTGTCAACCCCAGGATTGGTTAGATAACAGCGGTTGATATTGGGGGCGAGAAAAGAACGTGTTTGGACGTGATTTTCTGAAGAAAATCGCACAGTGCGATGCATTTGTCATATCTTTCCACCGATCGGCTATCTTATCCGCTACGTCGTAACCCACGTTGCATGCTAAGAAGTGCGAAGTGTCTTGTCCAAATGCTAACTAACTATAAGATTAGTCGTCCCATGCATTTCAAGGCCCTAGCGCTATTCTACGGCACTTTCGAGTCGCGACAGCGGGACATCTGTGCTACTCGCAGGCTACTGTATCCCATCCACTGAATAGATTCTTCAACACGACTTCTGTGTTGCTTTGAGAAGCCCTCATACACTTTATCATTGGGAAGTGGCTTACTTGCAGAATCCTTTTCCGAATAACGCCATATCAGTGGGCGATTTAGTACACACCACACCATTGGATTGTTCGCGACAATCTCCTGAATCATGACAATATTCGAGCTCTAAATGAGGCCTGAGGATCGCACAGACAATGTGGAATTTTCTAGATGTGTTGTTACATGAGAAATACGGCATACCTTGGACATATCTTGTAGTATCGTTTGTGACTTCTTTGGGAGCCGAAATGGTGGCCGAGGCAAGGTCGACGTTGAACGCTTTTTGTTCCGGATGAACAACAACAACAGTAGCAGAAGAGCCAAAAGCAGGATAAGAGGAAGCAGATATTTCAATATGGCTAATTCAAGTTTCCCTTTTTCCGTATTACCTTAAAAATGCCAGCTCTGCATCACAATGCCTTACTGGATGAGACCCAAAAAGTTGACCAATAATGGAAGAAAAAGTAAAAGAAAGACGTCGAGCAGGGGCTTAGACAGGGACTCCCCCTCTGCCACCTTTAGCAATGGAAGGAAGACGCTTGTTGGACGAGTTGTCTGACCATGCCCGCAGTAAATGGCAAGTAGCCAGCAATTGCAATTGGGGCGCTAATGAAATCGTTTTATGTTTTGAAGATGGAAGGTGGAAGGAAAAAACGTAGAAATCTAGCGTAGTCGGCATCACCACATCGATTGCTTCCATGGTTCACCTCAAATAGCTCCCGATGGTCCCGAAATTCAAGGCCGCAATGTCTGTACAGCCATTCAGGCACTCTTTTCACAAATCAGACTAGGGCGGCGCGCCAGTACGAAGGCTGCGATTGGGATTCCCCTCGCCACCTCGACCCCGGCATCTGGACACCCCTTCCAACGCCTTTCAAAGGTAGTTTCCAAACCAGTGACATTTCCTATGTTCTTGACTAGGGCTAGTGCATGTTTCCATCCTTCAGGATGGAATGGTTGAAACCCTGCTTGGACTGTTGTTTTAACCAGAAATGCTCTTATGTTGCTACTTACTGTTTCACATTGATACTTCAAACAACATCTCCCTGCTTACCAGACGCAAAACAAAGAGGAACAGGAGCTATAGCAAGTGAAGACTCGTCACTATTTTGAAGCATGAAAGGAGGCTCCCATGAGAGCGACCTCCCACCGCATGTTATAAGCAATAGGTTGTCCCACAACTAGTAGCTTTTTCCAAATAAAAAGTTTCTGCTGAACTCCCAAGTTTTTACATCATGTCATATACCATTCGAAGAGATTTATCTGCTAGACAAAGAGCTATGTTTTCCTTTCACGTCCACTCGCTTGCAAGTTGAATTTTAGGCTTTTAGGCCAATGACTAACTCGGGTATTTCCCTTGGTTGGAGTTGAGGTTGGATATACATACCTTATTGTAGTCACGAATTCTTCATGAACATCCGCATATTAGTTGTCGGGGAGAGCCTCGGCCGTGTTCTCTTCGAGACGGTTGATTTTTCTGGCTATCGCCCTAGCAACAGCAGCGCTTTGAGCTGGAAGACTGGGCTTCCTCTGATACGTATGATCACATTTCTCAAAAACAAAAGTAGGCTAAAGGAAGGATGGTTAGGTCGAAGTGGCCGTTTGAAATGAAATGTATACCTCCTGATGCGTCTCCAGACGCTGATTCCAAATCTGCCTTCCAAATCTGCTAAACGACTCTCCGAACGGAGTTATGAAGCGTAATAGCTCAGTGGTGATGGTCCGGGGTGGCAGGTAAAAGCTCGTAGGATCGGTTCCTTTGCAAATTGGTTGCTTTGCTTTTGTCTCTAGAAGTGTTGCGGACAAAAGCAAAGCAACAAACTTGCAAAGGAACCGATCCTACGAGCTTTTACCTGCCACCCCGGACCATCACCACTGAGCTATTACGCTTCATAACTCCGTTCGGAGAGCCGTTTAGCAGATTTGGAAGGCAGATGAAATATCGGTAGAGTGAATGCCATTCAGGTGGTTGGAATAACATTTCTTCGCCAATTCTTAATTACGGCCACTTCGCAAACCCTACCATACTTCGATGTGTAGAGACGGTGAAATCAAGGTTGAGGTATGCACCCAAAACCTGGGAGTCCTCTAAAATTGCTTCCCTAGAATTGCTATTCCTCTATTTTTCGGAGACCGCGTAAATTTTCTTTATTTACGTGCGTTTTATTTCGGTGAGGTTTAGTGCTGTAGTGCCATCGAGCTCTGGCGAATAAAAAGCAAATTTGAACATAGGGATCGATCTGGTTACAACGTGTGTCCCCTGGCGCGCTCCTTAGAAACTATGGGTTTACAGCTGGGTAACGGTCTTGTGGCCTATTTTTCGTTACGACTGCGACCCTCCTTTTCATTATAGCACTAAAATATCACACATTCTGCCACACAAATGTTCAAGGGAACCATATTACAGTAACAATTAGAGCAGACAAATCTTTTCCAATTTATATTTCATAGAAACTTGCGCGATAAATAAAGCATTTGCCGTTGGATCAATCCCTTTTTGGGATGCGGCACGCATTCTACTTCCATTTGTACATTCGTAGTGGCGTTTGAATGCGATGTGGCCTATACAATGACTTGCGGGGGCCAGCCGATGTTCAAGTCAGTGTTTTTATCCTCCCAGACAAGTCTGGTACCAATTAACCGACCCCGGAGGGATGGAAGGCTTGGTTGGCCCGGGCGACTCACGACCCAGGATTTGATCCCCGGACCGCTCGCGTGGTGAGCGCGCCACTTGTCACTGCACCACTTCCGCCCCATAAAAACTGAGAATACTGGCTCAGAAATTTTTTCTATAGAAAATAACGAAAGCACTAAGGGCAATCGATATGTCATCTCACTCACGTAGATGGAATTCGAGGTCTACATGGTCACCTCCTCCGGCTGCTTTTTCAAAATTGGACGCTTCTTCATGGCTCATTTCGAGATTTTCGTTATAGCGAATCCGCACAAGGATCTCATTTCGGCCCTGAGAAACCCTTCTCAGTTTCGGCATACCAAAGCGTGAACAATATCGGTGTGTATTTCAAACATTTTCACTGCAGGATCATCCCCTAAATATTTTAGGATGTTCAGAGCAGAATCTGTCTGATTTCACAGAGCCCCTTTAAAATTAATTTATTTCTCACCCCATAACTCAGGTGTCCCTATCTCTTCAACATTCCTTAAGTAATCGAAAGAGCCAAGCCCTTTATTGAATGTAATATCCAAACGTCGTGTATAAATTTCGTTTTTGAGCTGGACGTCTATGTTTTTTGGCTTCCGCATGAATAGTAGCTTCCATTGTTTATGTTGTAACCTACAATCAAAATTCTCCAATCTCTTTTCTTGTAATGATCTTCAGTTATTCACCTTATTGCACTGCATCTACGTTAGGGGTCAGTGAGTCCTTTCGAAGGCCACACGCAATGGATGCGGGGGGGTAATCTTTTTGTGGGAGCACCGGAAAAGACACATTTGCGCAATTCTTCGCTTGGTTAAACTGGCAGAGCCCCTTGACATGGCACTCCCGTACATTACGAACTTACTGCCCCCTCGCTGCCGTGTCCGTGAGTTCGTGACTTCTTTCGCCTCTGCGTCCACGATGCCTCCTGGTGTTTTCTGGTTGCTACCATCCGTAGACAGTTAGTTATCGCGCAATAAAAGCACGCTTTACTAAATGCAGTATTTTTATGTGGTTTAGTCAATTTTTTTTGGCGGCGCTGGCGATCATGCTTCGCCTATCCGAATCTCTTTTCATGTGAAACAATTATGGATATCGGTGGTCGTATGAATGGTTTCAAAGGATATCGAAGTGGGCAAGACCCGAGGGGGTTGTGTAGCAGCACACTGCACGGAAAGGGGGTATACAGAGGGTTGCACAGGGCTCTGATTTACGGGCTTCAGTCGAGTCTTCATTGCAAGTGTGTGGGTGTTCAGCACTTAACTGTGGCTCTCGGCATCGCCTAAATTTCTGGCAGCTGGTTCTCATGCCTCGAGACATCAAAGCCCACATCAGCAGGGTTGCCGGTATTCAGCCCTTTCTTGAGAAGGAGCGTCTGGACTTCCACTTCTCTTGAAGAAAAGGACGCCACCCGGAGGGGTATGGGCTCTTGGTGGAACAGCACTTAATAGGCCGCACATTCTCTTCCATCTTGTGCTGATCGCTTATGCCATGCCCTCCTCCTGTCACATGCTGTGATAAACACGGAGTCGATCACAAGCTGCCATTTCAGGGCCTCTAAGCTAGGACAATCCCTATGGAACAATGGCGGTGCATTCATTTGGCAGCGTCCCACTAACTGCAGGATGGCGAGGACGCTGCCGCCAGATTGCCTCTAATAAGCGGAGTTTACTACGTGCAGTATGCTCACCCGTTTCTAGAGATCGCCAGGGCGAGGCCGAAGTTTGATGGTGACGTTTTGTTTCTTCTGATTGTTGATTCATTATTTTTGTGTGATTGATAGCTCGGTACGTGAGAAGCTCTCAGCCATTGGGTCGCGAAATGTCCAGGCTATATCAGGAGTCATGAGGCCAGAGCTGACTTCGGACTACCGAGGCAGGGACAAACCGTATCCGTTTGCGGTATCGGAGTTCAACGAGGGGGGTGCGTTCGTGATTGGGAGGTACGCGACGGCAGCGTAATCTTAGCAGCTAAGGGGGGTAGTTTGATCCTTTTACGCTCTGTGAGCTGCCTAGAAGACAAATTTTGCTCGTATTTCATGATATATTAGCCCGCCTCCCGACTCGGCGGAGGCTATTCTTTGAGAGGGGAAACGGTTGGGTGGATTTGGGCTGTGTCGACTAGGTTCTCGCGAAGGAGATGTCCTATAGTATACAGGCTGAGGTGGGGGGTCGGGACCGGGGTTGCTAAAAATTTTGAAATTGTCCAGCTTGCCTTCAACGGTTGACCCTGCTCCAAGGGTTGCAGGTTCCCGCAACTCATGTCTCAATCTCGCTGTTGAGAACCCGTAAACCTGGCGATCGGAGACCACGTCGGGAGAGGAACAATTTAGCGCGGTCTCTGAGAGGGGTTTGTGAGACGACCTGTGGCTGCTTTGGAGAAAGCCACAACGATCCGAACAATCTTGTGTGTCGTGTAAGAGAACCCGAAAATGGCATGACCTAAGCGTTTGGATACTTCTATCGCAGGCGATGGATACTGTAAATTTGAGTAACTCTGGTGGGTGTTTTCAAGTTATCAACTCGGGAACGTAATTTTGGGTGGTTTTGTCTTTGATGGGAAAAGATGGGCTTTCGATATGGGAACCGTTTCCAAGACGAAGATGCTCAAGATGTACCTGTCCAGTTCGTTATGATGACATCACCTATCCTCGTCTCGCAATCTGAAGTGTTTTTCAAATACTCTTCGTTCACCATTCCACCTTGGCACTGATGTGCTATAAGGACGGTAAGTCAGAAATCCGTTTATAGTTCTCTGTCCTTCATCAGTAAGGTCTCACCACAGTCAGCCTTGTTATTGTAAATATAAACTCCTGGGAACTTTGCATGAAGAGCAGATGGATCCTCCACACAAAGATCCGCATTTTCGGTAATAACTAAAGCAAAGCTTACACACTCACATAAATGTTGTACTGTACTGCTTCAAAAACTCTTACCAGTTTTCATCACATTCAAACCTACAACCTGTGGTACATTCAAACCTATCATTTTCAGGGAGACACCACGATTAGTTTATTTGAACAACCTCTTCTATAAATAAGATACACTGGTTTTGTTTTCGGGGAACCACCGGTACCTCCCTTTTCCTGGCAAATGCTTTACGTTTTCGTTGTGCTCATTTTTCTGATGCGATTCCAACAAGTGGAAAGTGAGCGCGAGCAGATGCGAATGCCCAAAAGAAGTGCTTTGTGTGGTAGACGATAACGTAATAATGATGCCACAGCACATTCTAAACAATAGTTATTAGCAATTGGTTTGTCTCCCTCTTCTCCTCCCCTGCCCTCCTTAAGCTGCCGCCGCGGCATGTGGAGTAGCCAAAAGTTCATATAGGCAGTTCATATAGGCGTGGGGATGTTGTCGTAATTATACCATCCTCCAAAATATCGGTAGCGCAAATCCTGCAAGCTCTCCGGTTTTGCTCGCAGTTTCTTAACTCTATGTGCTTCCTTGTTGCTTCGTTTTGAGATTCAGAAATTTATTCGGCAAAGTACTCTATTATTTTCATTTCATTTGCCAACGATATTTCTGTAAAAAGGTCTTCTTGTAACCTGCTGTACTGAAGGAGTGAAACCCCCACCATATTTAGCATGGTAGAAGGTCTTTCAGTGCGACCTGCGATCATTCGCATGCATGTAGAAGGTCCCCCAATAAGGACAACACAAATATTTCCTTCCAAAAGAGCCGTACGGAAGATTATCAAACGATACTAGGAAAAGTGTCCATTACGCATAAGCCTGGGAAAAGAAAGGGCTATCCATTCTGCCAAAGTGGTGACCATAACATTTCTTTCTCAAACTGACCGCACACCGCGACGCTCCGGAAAAATTTCAAAGGAGTTGGATAAATCGAGGTCATCAATGGGGCAGAATGGTCACTAAAGAACTCCATAGCCGCTACTATTACATGCCATCTCATCTGCGATATGAACAAGTAGCAAGAATCAAGAAATGCACGAGGTGCTTACTCGGTTTAGCGCCCCTCCATCCTTTCTTCTGAAGAAAAAAGTTCACAAATGAACAGATCCACAGTAGGCAGAACGATTGCGCTCCGATTAGAAAAAGGTGAAGTGCTAAACCTCGAGGAAAAATTGATTGCAGATCACCGAACTAGGTATGAAGGAATACCACATGCATTAGTGTTTCGTCGATTTCTGTAGGAACATCAACAATGCCGACACATAATAAATGTAATGAAGGCTCGGCCTGAGCTCCACTGTAGAAATAACCCGAAGTGCTTCTCTAGCCCACAGATCTACACCCAAGAGGGATGGCGGTTTCAGCTGCCCGACTCTGCACAACACCGAAGAATGGCCATACTTTTCATTAGGTCCCCACCCACCTCATTTCTCAGTATGGTCTTTGAATGAAAGAGATGTGCCGAATTCGTCATCACAGTTTTGAGTCACTGAAAGCAGCATTGAAGGAACCCTCGGGAAAGTAGACGAGGAACATCTGCGCAAAACCCAAGAAGCGGCTTCGAGTTTGCATCCGTCGCAGTGCAAGACATTCTGGAATTCGGCTGTTCCACATTATTGTGCATGTTGCGAGTTATCTTATATTCAGATTCACTAAGCATTCTCCGCTCTAATGGTAAGCCCTCGGCCGTGGTAATCCCGATAGCCGCCATCATGCCAATAAGCATCGGTGTTTTGACTGATAAGGCATTACATGGGCAAGTTGGAAGATACAGCCGATAAAAGGGAAACGATCTCCCAAAATGAAAAGCCAACAGCAGACAGCTCGCCCAAGTCATCATCTGAACAAGTGGGCGTAACGCTGCTGGAGGCGGAGTGCTGCGGAGGTCCTGCTCAGCAACCACAGCACCTTTCGGAAGCGCCACACATCGCTTCCTTGGCAGCCAAGTAATTGCTCCGTGTGGCGCAGGTTCTCCCCCGATGCGAAAATTCCTTATCGTAATCGCTTCCTTTAACTAGGGAGACGCGAGGTGAGGAATGATGGAGAAAGGAACGAGGAAAAGGAACGGCTGACAAAAATAAGGGCCAAATTGCTGATGAGCACTCCTAAGAGAATCTATAAATGTGCTGATACTCTTCTCCGTTATATGTATAAAACAAGAATTTTGTATGCAAATATGTACATATCCACTTTGCAAGGATTTGACATCACGTGTTTAAGAGAGCACAGGTAATGTTCGTGTAACTATGCGGGAAAAAAGATTCCGGTGGTTGCTGGGGAATAACACTAGTTGGGTGAATCTTAAAACTGTCCTTACAATTAGTTAAATGAATTTTGAGTCTGTGTTGGGCTGAAATCCGGTTTTTCTTAGACTGTTCGACAAAACCCTAGAAAACGCTTCGGTTACTTACATTGAGTACATCCATTAATCGGTTTAAATTCACTGACATGATCCAGAAATTTTAAGTGTGTAATTAATGATCTTTGGAGTTTAAGGCAACCAGTATACTTGAAACTTTTCCAACCGCTAACATTCATATCACTGAATACATAAAGCGGACCATAGACATGTGTACAGTTATACAATGATTCCGGATAGTAGGTGAGGCTCGTACTCGCCAAACATTCTGAAATTTACTACTCCTTTTCCAGCATATATTACACCGCATGTGCGTGACATGATGCGAAAAAATGACCTCGATATTGTGAAATTGTATTTGTGGCCAATGCGCACAAGAAGCTACTCTACCAAAAGCATCAATGTAATCTTCCGGGTCTGTTTATTCTGTTCTCTTTCGACAAAGGTAATTTGACTGCCATCGCCTCCACATAACGATTCATTCGCATTACATAGCGCTTAGTTGGTTCCTCACTTCTCTTGTTCCTCTGCCAAATCTTCTAGTCTCAGACTCTTCGTCGCTAACTCGCACCCTGCTCACAAGTAGCTATGACGAAGGAGCTCCGTCCTGTCATTCGGTTCCGTTTATTCTCTACTCGTAGACAACTCAACACCTCCACTTTATGCTGCCAGTCAAATT